TAATATATTAATCACAGTAATTTTAAAGTCCCTGTCTGATAGCTTCAATATCCAGGTCACCTGAGTCTAGTTCTATTGACTGCTTTATCTCTTGACAAGGGGTTGTTTTTGTTTTGTTTTTTGCTTTCTACTGTGTCTTGTAATATTTTATTGAATTCTACTTTTTGTGTGGAAAAAAAAAGTGTTTATGCCTGGAAATAGGCATTTCTCTTCTGTTAGACTGGGATGGGATGTGGAGTCAATCTTGCAAGAAATTGAGCTGGGTTTGCATTTTGTTGTTATTGTTATCTTAAGTGCATCACAGATGTTTCAGATTCCTCTAGCAGTGGGCTGTTGTTACCATGTGCTCAGAGGTTAGTGTGCCACAAGGTTTTTCTTTGTCAGTATTCCTGCTCCTTCTTTACCTATCAGCTGTCTCTGCATGCCTGTGCCACAGGATTCTTTCTCCATTCTCGTTTCTTCCTTAGGAGTAGACAACTATTTCGTGTTACTTTGTGCTAGGCTCATGGTAGGGACAGTAAGGGTTCTCTGTTGTCTTGGTCCACACTCAGTCTTAGGCAGGCTCTTTGTGCCTGAGCACATGAGTGGGTCATTCTCAGCATTCTCATTCCTCTCCACAAGTATTTGTGGTTGTTATTAATCAGAAGTTTCCTATCCTTCCCCTAGTAATAGTTGCGGTGGAGGATTCTAGGTGCCAAATTATCTTCTGTTCCTCTTTCCAAAATGTAGGTATTTTTGCTTCTTCTTTTCTTCCAGAAATAAAAGATCTTTACCTTTTATTTATTTAATGAATGACATAAGGTTATGAGAGGTACAATTATACTTCTGGTATGAGTACCTGGATAGCAGTACAGAGGAGACACTCTAGGGCAGAGTATGAGATGCCTGTGGGTGAAACATCCAATTGGAAAGAGTAATATTCATTCAACAAATATTTACTGAGCATGTAATACATGCTAGGAACTGTTCTAGGTGTTTGGGTGTTATCAGTGAACAAAACAGATAAAGACACCTAGCTGGAAAGTATCCCCTAGAGGGGAAGACAATAAGCATAATAAGTGAATTATATAATAGATTGGAAGGTGATAAGTGCTATGGAAAAAATATAAAACTGGTTGAGGGGAATCAGGAGTGCTGAGGAATGTGGAGTGAGTTTCAATTTTAAATATGGTGGTCAGACTTGAACTCACTGAGAAGTTGACCTGGGTCTGCTGCTCAAAGGAAAGGTTTATCTGTTAAGCAGGCAAAAATATCTGCCTCAGAGTTTTCTTAGGATTAAATGACATATGTAAAGGGCCTGGAAAATAAGTAGTTGTTAAAAAGTTTTAAACCCACTTTCCCACTCCAAACTTCTGTGAGACTTCAATCACTCTGAAACAGGCAAAGTTAAAGATTAGCAGAATAAATTCATGAGTGTGCATCCCTTTTCAAATTTAACCTGTTCTTCACCAGTAAAACACTAAGCACAAAACAGTTTCCCTTCTTTGTTGCTTTATTGTTACTCATGATGACTTCTGGGCCATTATCTATAAGAGAGTGCTTCTTGGTATAAATTATGGGATAGGTAGAATAGGCAGAATATCCAGGCCACTAACATGGGTCAATATACAAGGCGTGGAGGAGGGGTCGTAAGGTCACTATGTTTTATATGAAGTGGTACAATGTTAACTTTAAGTAGACTGTAAAAAGTTAAAGTTGTACACTGTAAACTTTAGGGCAAACACTGAAAAATTAATGCAAAGAAGCATAGCTAAAATGCCGATAGGGTAAATTAGAATGAAATTCAAAACAGTATTCAGTTAATCCAGAAGAAGTCAGGAAAGTGGGTCAGAGTAAGAAAAAACAGAGAACTAAATAATAAAATAGTAGACCTAAACCTAGGCATATCAGTAATCATACTAATGTCAATGTAACATTTCAATTAAAATACAGAGATTATCAGAATGTTAGAAAAAACAAGACCCAACTACCGTATTTTTATGTAAATAATGTGCACCTCCTATGTTTGTTTGCCATCCGCGCCCTCTCCCTGTGAGGTATTTTCATAAGTGCCACTATGCCAATGTTTCTTTACAGCTTGCTGTAAAAAAAAAAAAAAAAAATTAGCACAGTGCATTTAAAAATATCAAAGGTGCAAAAGAGGAAGGAGAGTCAGGAATAGGAGGAGGCTATGGAATGTGTGTCTAATTGCCTCCATGCACAACTGCTTCCTTTACCATGAGACCAGAAGAACTGGATGGTGCCCGGCTACCATTACCGAACATTTTGATAAAAGAGTCTATAGATGAATCCTGATCAAAAAGGGGAAAATGCAGAACAGAATTTCAAATTCTCATGAACTCCAGACTATCTGGAGCCATGGAGGATGGATGAACCCCTGAAACTACTGCCTTGAGATAATCTTTAAACCTTAAAGTAGAAATATCCTCTGACATCATCTTAAAACGGAGCAATAGTTTAGCTTAACTAGTAAAAAAGGTCTTCCTTGAGCAGTATGTTCTTTTAAGAACTACCTATATGCGATCAAATTGACAACAGCAACTTGAAACATCAGACAGTAACCTTAGAGGACAGAAAGTTTATGTTAATGAGGAACAACTCATAAAAGGAGGGTGAGAATGGCTGCACAAGTCAAAGACATATCACTAAATTGTACATGTAGAAACCTGAACTGCTCTATGTTCTGCTGTGTATATTCTCAACAACAAAATAAAATTTAGAAGGAAAAAAACTGGCAGATTTAAAGGGAGAAACAGACGAATCTGCTATCATAGTTGGAGATTTTAACACCTCTTTCTCAACAATTAATGGAATAATAAGACAACAAAATAAGCAAAGACATACGAGATCGGAACAACACTCTCAGCCACCTTGATGTAACTGGTATTTATAGAGGACTATGCCCATCAAGGAAACTCTGGTGGCGAGTGGTTAAGAGCTCAGCTGCTAACCAAAGGTCAGCAGTTCCAATCCACCAGGTGCTCCTTGGAAACCCTATGGGGCAATTCTACTCTGTCCTCTAGGGTCGCTATGAGTCAGAATCGACTTGAAGGCAATGGGTTGTTTTTTGTTTGGTATGACCAACAATCGCAGAACATATATTATTTTCAAGTGCACATGGTATATGCACCACAATAATTCATGTGCTGGGTCATAAAATAGTCCTCAATAAATTTAAAAGGATTAAAATTATAGAAAATACAAATTAAATTAGAAATCAGTAACAGAAAGATATATATAGGAAAACCTCAGATATTTGCAAATTTAACACACTTTTAAATCATAGGTCAAAAAAGAAATCACTAAGGAGATTAGAAAAATTTCAAACTGAAAGATAATGAAAATAAAACATTAAAGTTACATCACCATGGAACATGAAAAGACAAATCATAAACTGGGAGAAGATATTTACAATATTTACAACACATATTACCATGAGAGGATTACTTTCTAGAATCTATAAAAGACTCTTAAAAATGAAACATCTGTTTAAGACAGCTGTGTTATCAATTTCAAACAAGAGGGAACAGAGCGATGAAACGTAAAAGCTTTGGTTACTACTGTAACTTAAGTTTCTGTGCTCCCTAGTATGTAAAATAATTGCCCTATCTTCTCAGACAACCATGAGATGTAAGGCCCTGGGTCATTAATACTTAGGTAGTACCTACCAGCCAGAGCCACTCCTTAGGAGAAAGATGTGGCAATTTGCTTCTGTAAAGATTACAGCTTTGGAAAACCACAGAGTAGATCTACTCTGTCCTATTGGGTCACGATGGGTAGGAATCCACTCAATGGCAATGGTCTTGGTTTTCTGGTGATCAGCTGGAGTAGAATCAACCTCCTTGCACATGTTTAATCTAGACGATTATAGTGGTTTCTTTCTCCAAAGTACCTGTAATAGTCTTTTGTTCCTTAAAGTTTTGTTTACTTGGTTATTGTTTTTGTTCAAAATATAAGCTACAAAATAAACAGTAAATATACTGCTGTTGTCTCTACCTCACTTTGCCATACAATACACAAAATTTTGCTATTAATATGTAATAGAGGTCTTGGAAACTTAGTTCCGACCACAGAAGAGTAAGCTGGGAAATAGGTGCGCTTTCCACATAATGTAAGAGGCAAACAAGTCTAGGTTTCAGTTGGAAAAGAGAACAGCTGTACTTCAGTCTTTGCTCCTGCCATCGACCCAGCTATTTTGAATTAGCTGCACATGTCTGCAATTTCGCTAGTGAAAAATCGATTTTAGAAGAATGTGCTGGCTACGTCACTTTCTACAGCAGTCACCTAAAAACAACATATTTTGCGTGTTAGTTTTTGCTGTTTCTTGTTAGTTTCCTCCGCTCATGCCCATCTTCTGCTGTTTGTTTTGAATAATTGCTATTAATGTAGTCCTACAGCTTCTTAATAGTAGTTTATTAGAAGAACAGTGTGTAGAATCTTGCGTCTTAATATCGTGTAGACGTCTCGGTGGCTGCTGACTCGAGGCTGGGAGGACAACCACAGACATTTTAAAGGTCTTAAATTTCCTACAGAAATGTCTAGAATGTTCTGCGCTTTACCTAGCCCGGGATTTTCGCGAGCGAAGTACAACTCCTTACCCACCTCTGTGGAAACAATATTATGCCCCTCAGTGGCCATGACGGCACTCCTAATAAACCCGCCACGGCCTTCCCGCCTCCCCCGCGGGGCGCGCACTTCCGGCCGCGGGGAAGCTCGGGAGCGCGCCTCGCGAGCCTCCACCAACCAGCGGCTCCGCCAGGCCGACGCGAGTGCGCGCGCGCACATCTGTGCGCAGGTTCGAATCTCCGCCGCTTCGCGGTTGCTCCTCAACGTCCGGGTCGCAACTTGGCGGCGGCGAGAGCGGCGTACGCCGTCCGCCCCTCCCCCCACCCTTTCCAGTTTCCTGCTGTCACCTCGCCCAGACTTCGTTCTCGCCTTCCGTCGCGCGCTCCGCCCTCCAGCTTCGGCCCCGCGGCTATCGGCGCTCAGCTTCCCGCGCCGGGGCCGGCTCCGCGCGAGCTTCTGAGGCCCATGGCCAAGCGGCGTGCGGCCGAGCCGCTGACGTTCCACGTGCCTTGGAAGCGGCTCTTGCTCTGCGATTTCACGGAAGAGCCGCCGCCGCTCTGGATCCCGCCGCAGAGGGCCTTGCATCCGGGACAGCCCCTTGGTGTCCCCGAACTGCCCCGAAAGCGCAAAATCGGCGCGGCGGCCATGGCCGAGCCCTCGGCTTCGCCCAGCAAGCGCCGCGACGGCCCGGGCGACGAGGAGCGTGAGGGCCACAGCCTAGAGACCGGCGAGCCGCCCGTACGGCCCCGCGGGCCGGGGGAGGAGCTCCGGCGCGCTCGGCCCCAGAAGGGTGGTGGCGACCAAGGGGCGGGGCGCACAGGGACCCCGAGGGGAGACTGGGGGGCCGCGCCGTGTCAGGTAGGGTGAAGTGCGGGTTGGGTGCTTCTGAGGGCGGGCGGGCGGTGTGAGGGACGAAGGGCCCGCTTCATCCCCAGACACACTGCACGCCCCGGGAAGGAACACATGACTCGTTCCTCAAGATGCCCCAAAAGGCGAAACAGCTGGGGCCACTGGCCCGGGAACGGACACCGATCCTCAGGCCACTCAAGAGGGACCCAGAGTCTGCCTCTGGCAGCGTTTTGGGGGAGAGTGTAACGGACTGGAAGCACTTTGCTGAACTAGTGGCAAAGACACTGCCAAGTAAGGTAGAAGAAACCTTGCAGCTTCAGCACCTGTAACATGTAAGCCGGAAGCAGAAGTGTGAGTCACAACAGACTGTAAAGACGTTGACCTAGTCCACAGATAGGTCTAGCTCAACGACAAACGTCAGAGGAAGGTGTAGTGCGTTCCTTGATTTAACGATAATTATTCTAGAATTCGTGGTTTCCTTCTAAAGAGGGTGACCAATGTGGTAGCCACCAATTGGACATATTTTAGGCATGACAACTCATTTGACAGAGAGGAAGGATCTCCCTTTCTTGGGAGAAGCCGTTTTAACTCTCTTAAAACTGCTAATACGAAAAGGGATCGTGCTTAAAAAGTAATTTGAGGCCCTAAAATAACGTGTACATGAGAGTCATTCGGGGGTCCCTTCTCGGGAATTGAACCCGCTTCATTTCTGCACCTAAGAATATCTGATTTGTCTAAATCTGCACTGTTCAAATGGCAGCCACTAACCATATGAGATTATTGAGCACTTGAAATTGTGGCTAGTCCAAATTGAGATGCGTATTAAGTATAAAATACTAGATTTCAGAGACAGTATAAAAAGAAGGTTTTTAAATGTCAGTTTATTGCTTACATGTTGCAATAACATTTTGGACATACTAGATTAAATAAAATACATTAAAATTAAGTTCAGCTGTTCGTTTTATGTTTTTAATATGGTTACTAGAAAATTTAAAATTTTATTTGTGGCTAGCATGTTTTTATTGGACATCGCTAATCTAGACTTAGGAATTCAAGCTGATTTTTGGCGGTTGTGGGTTGACTTACCAGGGACCTTTGGGAATGCAGGGACCAAGTGGAGGACTCCAGATTTACCAAACACTTTGAAGCCACTACATCATAGTATCTACCCCACATTTCTCCTTTGTGTTCTTAAGTATCTTATAAAACAGTGTGTCAAATACCTTCTAAAACAAAAGGAATCGAGGTTCCTTTGGCATGACTTGTTCTTGGTGGAAAACCTAATACAATAATGACAATTTTATAATTAGGAAAGATGTTTTATTCATGATTGTGAGAAATTATCTTTTAGACTTAATCCATATGATGGGCATTTCTGGATGAAATTGTAAATATTTCCTCTTATCTAGACTTCTTCAGATTGCTCTTAGATGTTCAAAATCAGCTTACTTAAAACAGTTCAAATAATAGTCTATTGAATATGGAGATAAGTTGTGTAGCTTGAAAACTTTTCCTCTTCCGACCATGTTCTGACTGCCATGAATCATGTACCCCACCCACACATAGGGTTATCTCTCCTTCCAGAATACACTGACTGCAGTATGCCACAAAATTGATCAGCGGGAAATATAGAAATGGCAGCTAGGCAAAGAAAAATAATTGTTTAGTAGACTAACACAAAGACGTCTCCTTAGATTCTAGACACACCTGTTCTCCATAGCAGTGACTTGACCTAGCAGCTCTTCCTACAGTCTGCAGAACGCATGGCAGGAAACAAAGCTTGTCTCTAGGATTTTCTCCTTCACCAAGACTTGTCCCATGTTTTCTTTTGGCAAAAGCCCAGGAACGCTATCATGTTCCTGCTTTTTGTTAGATGTGTTCCTTGTGCTGCTTCTCTTCTGCACACCTGGAAAGAGGAACATGCTCTCTCCAGCTTCCCTTTTTTTTCCTGCCTCCAAAGACGGACTATTTTGTTCTAAGGATTTTACAGCTAATTGCCAAGGGCAAACAGGGTATAACAAAACGAAACACAGAAAAGTTAAAAAGCTTTTTCAGTTCATGCGGTAAATGTCCGATTCCTTATGGGAATCAGAGCTTAGTCCCTGTTGTCACCCTTGGAGTCTCATTTAGGAAAAATTTCTTCACATATGTCACTTCTTTCTACATTGAGGATGCAATCTAGGCAGAATAGTGGGAACCTCTTCTGTCCTGGAACCTTGGAATATTTCATAAGTTTTAGATGTTTTCTGTTTTTTCTAGAGAACTAAACTAAAAACATATTGCTTCATTAAATATTTGTCTTTTTTTTTTGAATTGTGATTTAGGTGAAAATTTACATAGCAGAGTTTCTTACTAAACAGTTAATAGACAAATTGTTTTGTGACATCGGTTGCCAACCCCATAATGTGTCAACACTCTCCATCTCAGGTTCCATGTTTCCATTTGTCCAGTTTTCCTGTCCCTTCCTGCCTTCTTATCTTTGCTTTTGGGCTGGTGTGCCTGTTTGTCTCGTATACATGATTGAACTATGAAGCACATCGCTATGGACCTGTCTAGTCTTTGGCTAAAGGGTGAACCTCAGGAGTGACTTCAGTACTGAGTTAAAAGGGTGTCCGTGGGCCGTATTCTCAGGGTTTCTCCAGTCTCTGTCAGACCAACAAGCCTGGACTTTTCTTTTTTTGTGGATTTGAATTTTGTTCTACATTTTTCTCCCGCTCTGTCTGGAACCCTCTATTGTGATCCTTGGCATAGCAGTTGGTGGTAACCAGGCACCCTCTATTTGTTCTGGGCTCTGAAGGAGGTTGTGGTAGTTGTGGCCCATTAGTCCTTTGGACTGATTTTTCCTTGTGTTTGGTCTTCTTCATTCTCCTTTGCTCCAGCCATAATGGGACCAGTAGATGTGTCTTAGATGGCCGCTTGCAGGCTTTCGAGACCCCAGACGCTGCTCACCACAGTGGGATGTAGAACATTTTCTTTGTAAACTGTGTTATGCTAATTGAGCTAGATGTTCCCTGAGACCATGTTCCCAGCCCTCAGCCCAGTAGCTCGATCTCTCAGTACGTTTGGATGTGTCTGTGAAGCTTCTGTAACTTTGCCCTGGTCAGGTTGTACAGACTTCTCCAGTATTGTGTACTGTCTTACCCTTCACCACTTATCTACTATCTAGTTAGTGTTTTTCCCTTCCCGGGAATATTTGTCTTTTTTTACTGTAGTGTTACTTTATGCAGATTTCATTGCCCTATCAGTGCTGACCCTTACTGTTAGGTTTGTTTAATAGACAGCAAACAGAAATGTTTTCTATTACTAGAGAGAAAATATGATTCCTAGGCTTATTGGGATATAATACCTAGAAATACTGAACTCTCAACTGGTAAACCTTAATTTTCACAACAGTCCTAGGTAGGTATCGTTGCTGCTGAATTTTTAAGGGGCCAGCACACATTTGGATTTATAAATTTTAGTTTAGTGATTTAAAGTTAGTCATGTCTTATACCAAATGATACATAAGATGTATTTTTTGTTTAATACATTATTATTTCTTCTTTGAAAGCTGAAACCTTTTAAGACTGTTCTCAGACATTTTCTTTTGTTGTAAAATGGGAGAAGATTATGGGAAGTGTTTCCTGAGAAAATTTACTTTTTCTAAATCACTAATGTATGTGCATCTCTCCTTTTTTCCCCACAAAGCATAATGAAGAGTTTTGGCAGTATAATACCTTTCAGTACTGGAGGAATCCTTTACCACCTATTGATCTGGCAGACATTGAAGATGTTAATGAAGATAAGCTGACAGAAGCAACACTTCAGAGCAAGAATGACGTGGCTGAGATTGACATGGAGTCCTGACGTGAGAAGCTGAAGAAATAGTTCCTGCTGAATTTGTGGAGACATCTCTAGTGAATTCATGTACTCTTAAGGAAAAAAGTAGTTTCCTATACTTGATGTGTTGTTATTCCTGAACCTGAAAAATAAGGAAAGGTTGTTTTAAAGGTAAATGCCTGCAGTCACTACTCAACCTTCTAAAACAAATTTGTCAGAGATACAGTGCAGTTATAGGGGAGATATTTTAGGTATGGATTCTTAAAGAAAATTTTTTGTTTAGATTGTAAATTTGAAGATATGAATCCTATAAAAAGGAATTCTGACAGTTTTAGAAGTAGGCAGGAAACAAGTAATATTCCCTCCTGTCTGCACCAGAAGGTTTATTTGTGGACATGAAGTGAAGATTGTTTTATAATAACTGTTACTAATAAAATACTTTGTTAATACATTTTATTGACTCTTCTTAGTTGAACTCTTCTTAAACAGCTGACTTAAACACCTATGCAAACTTAAAATGTGGGGGATTCTTTCTGAAAGTTAATATTCTTTAAAAAGAGCTTTCTAAATGTAAAGTACGAATTTCAATTTGGGTAGCATGTTTGCAGAGCTTCCAATATTCAATATTTGTTAAACTCATGGGCAGTCAGAAATGGATAATAAAGAACAATTGGAAATACTAGTTGCAGTTGAGTTGATTTTGACTCAATGGCAACCCCAAGTGTGTCAGAGTAGAACTGCTCTACAGAGTTTTAAAGGCTGTGACCTTTCAGAAGTAGATGGTCAAGCCTGTCTTCTGAGGTGCCTCTGGATGGGTGTGAACCACCAACCTTTTGGCTGGTAGTTGAGAACTTAACCATTTGCACCACCCAGGGACTCCTAATGAGAAGTGACTGATGCCATATTACTCCCTTTTCCCAGGATAAATTTATCAAATGGTCACTCTTGGTTTTGAATTGCTTTGAGGGCATAGCTTTTATTGCTTATTACTTCAGACTTGTAGTTCTTAACACCGACAGCTCTTCAGAAATCCTTGCCTGGGCCCCATTCTTGAGAGATTTTTATTTAGTTTTGAGTGGGCCTTGAGTATAGCTGTTTATTTTAAAGTGTCAATCCTTTCCCTCCCCCTATTCCTCTAACGTACAGACAGGGTTGAGAACTATTAGGCTAATGGTAATTTTTCCTGTTTAAAGGAGATAACTAATTTGAGCTGAAGCAATGCATCTTAATTAGCTTTGTTTTTATTTTGCCCTGTTGATGGCTTTTTTACAACTATTGTGTTGTTATTACTGTTTCATTGTTAAATAAAGTAAGCAATATGTATTTGAGTTATGTGAGCATTGATGATTATGTTAATTCACTTCAGTGCTGCTTCCTGACTGTTGACTTTGTAATTAACTCCTCCCTGCTTGTACACTTGTTGTTTTTGATGACCTTAGATCCAAAATTCAAGAAGGACAATAAATGCCAGTGAGAAAGAGGAAACAACTTGATGTTTTGTGTGTGTTGCAGGATTTCAGTATGGATTGATATTTATAGCATTGTGGTTAAGAGTTCAGGCTTTGGAGTCAGACATGGTTCAAAGTTTTGCACTGCCGTTTCCTACCTATGCATATTAAACAAGTTAGTGTTTGTCTCCAAACCTCAGATTCCTAATCTGTAAAATGAGAATAATAATAGTATCTGGACCAGTAAGCGATATCATGATAAATGGAGAAAATACTGAGGTTATCAAAGATTTCATTTTACCTGGATCCACTTAATGCCCGTGGAAGCATCAGTCAAGAAATCAAATGACGTATTGCATTGGGCAAATCTGCTGCAAAAGACCTCTTTCAAGTGTTAAAAAGCAAAGATTTCACTTTGAGGACTAAGGTGAGCCAGACCCAAGCCATGGTGTTTTCAGTTGCCTCATATGCATGTGAAAGCTGGACAATGAGTAAGGAAGAACGAAGAATTGAAGCCTTTGAATTATGGTGTTGGCGAAGAATATTGAATATACTATGGACTTCCAAAAGAACAAATATATCTTGGAAGAAGTACAGCCAGAATGCTCCTTAGAAGCGAGGAGGGCAAGACTTTGTCTCACTTAGTTTGGACATGTGATCAGAAGGGACCAGTCCCTAGAGAAGCATATCATGCTTAGTGAAGTAGAGGGTCAACAAAAAAGAGGAAGACCCTCTGTGTTAGTCATCTAGTGCTGGTATAACAAATACCACAAGTGGATGTCTTTAACAAAGAGAAGTTTACTCTCTCACAGTCCAGTAGGCTAGAAGTCCAAATTTAGGGTGCCGGCTCCAGGGGAAGGCGTTCTGTCTCTGTTGCCTCTGGAGGAAGGTCCTTATCATCAGTCTTCCCTTGGTCTGGGAGCATCTCAGCACAGGAACCTCAGGTCCAAAGGTTGCACTCTACCCCTGGCACTGCTTTCTTGGTGGTATGAGGTCCGCCTCTCTCTCTGCTTGCTTCTCTCTTTTATATCTCAAAAGAGATTGGCTTAAGACACTATCTAATCTTGTAGACCTCATCAATATAACTGCCACTAATCCATCTTATTACATCACAGTGATAACATTTACAACACATAGGGAAATCACATCAGATGATAAAATGGTAGACAATCATACAATATTGGGAATCATGACCTAGCCAAGTTGACAGATATTTTGGGGGGACACAATTTAATTGATGACATTCTATCCTTTGTCCTCCCCAAATTCATGTCCTTGCCACATGTAAAACCCCATCATATCATAGCAAAAGTCTTAAATCAACTCCAAAATACAAGAATTTTTCCTCATCTGTGAAATCTAGAATACAAGTTATCTGCTTCCAAAGGTACAATGGCAGAACAAGCACAAGTTGGACACTTCCATTACAAACGGGAGAAATTGGAGGGAAAGAAGGCATAACACGCACCAAGCAAGTCAGCAGAACACATTACATTAGCCCTCAAGGCTTTGCAAATAATCCCCTGTTCTCTGAGATAATTTACACAATAGCCCTGCCCTCCAGACTCTAGGTATTGGCCACACTCTCCGGATTCTGAGTGGAGGCCCCTCAGCTCTGGATTTCACCTCTGCCTTCCAGGCCTACTGGGACAGCAACTCTGCTCCTTCAGCTTTAGGCGCACAATTCTCCTAGTCCATCGGAGTGACAGCTCCACCCTTAGAAACACCAGAGGCCATGGCTCCACCCTTTGAAACTCCAGAGGTCATGGCCATACCCTTTGAGACTGAGGCAGCTTGACTTCTTGTGTTTCTTGTCTCTTCAGCTTCTGCTTCCTGTGGCCTCTCAGCCCTTGGGTCTCACGCCCACATCTGCCCTGCTGGGGCAAGTGTTGCAAAGCTCTGTAGCTCCACCAATAAGTGCCCGGAGGCACCCTACTCTGTTAGGAAGCATCCTGCACACAGGCCCACAGCTCTCTTGCTCCATGGGTTGGCAAACCTAGCTCCACTGATAAGTGACCAGAGGCATCCCACTCCACCAGGAAGCCTCCTGTGCATAGGCACTCAGCTCACTCCATGGGTCGGCTCCAGAGCTTTCTGGCACTGGTCTTCTGATTCTGCTGCTGCTGGTTCTCTGCCACTGCTGCTTCTCTGCTGCTGTCGGTTCTCTGCTGCTGCTACTCCTCTGCTGCTAGTCCTCCTCTATCCACTCACAGTTTCAAAACTGCTTCCACATTTCAGATATCCATTAGAGCAACACCCCACTCTCAGTACCAACTTCTGTCTTAGTCATCTAGTGCTGCTATAACATAAATACCACAAGTGGATGGCTTTAACAAAGAGAAGTTTATTTTCTCACAGTCCAGTAGGCTAGAAGTCCGAATTCAGGGTGCCGGCTTCAGGGGAAGGCTTTCTCTGTCAGCTCTGGAGAAAGGTCCTTATCATCAATCTTCCCTTGGTCTGGGAGCATCTCAGCGCAGGAACCTCAGGTCCAAAGGATGCGCTCTGCTCCTGGTACTGCTTTCTTGGTGGTATGAGTTCCCCCCATCGCTCTGCTCCCTTCTGTCTTTTATATCTCAAAACAGATTGGCATAAGACACTAATCTTGTAGACCTCATCAATATAACTGCCACTAATCCATCTTATTACATCACAGTGATAGCATTTACAACACATAGGGAAATCACATCAGATGATAAAATGGTAGACAATATAATACTGGGAATCATGACCTAGCCAAGTTGACAGATATTTTTGAGAGACACAATTCAGTCCATGACACCCTCAATGAGTTGAATTGACACAGTGGCTGCAACAATGGGCTCAAACATAACAACGATTGTGAGGATTGCACAGGACAAGGCAGCGTTTTGTTCTGTTTTACATAGGGTCACTATGAGTTGGAACTAACTTGACAGCACCTAACAACACCACCTCATAGAGACTATGTTTATTAAGTGTCAGGCAATGTACTAAGTACTTTACCTGCATCATCTTGTGTAATTCTCACAATAACATCTGTAAGGTAGATTCCAGAAAATCGGAATAAAAGTGCTGCCTATAGTTGCACTTCATTCCACTTTATATTGGCTGCAGTTAGGAGTTTCAAAATAAGAACTGGAATTGAAATCGCAAGAATACCAAGCAAGTGGGGAAGCAGTTAAAGGACTGGAAAAAATAAAATGGTAAATCTGCTTTCCCCCTTCCATTTGGCCTGACGAGTATGTGTTTGTTTTTGTTCACTGCTCTATTCCTAGTGCCTATAACAGTGCCTGGTGCATATGAGGCAGTCAATAAATATTGAATGAACAAATAAATGGACATTCTTAAATCTGTTGATGGGAAGTTAATATCAGCAATTTTAGTTCTAGGAACATATCTTTAAACGCTAGGCCATTTACCCAAAGATACATAAACAAAAGGCTAGTTGCAGCATCAATCAAATAGCAGAACGTTAAAAATACCCTAATTGTTGGGTGATAACTGGACAAATCTGTACAATGGAATTCTGTGCAGCATCTGCATGTATTGACTGGAAAGCTTTTAAGAAATATTTTTTAGATAATAAAAGCAATTTCAGGGTAGTGGTGTGAATTTGTTAAGTAAAACTAAGTTATTTATGTATATTTGTACACAAATGTATACATGCATAATTGAAGGACTAAAAGAAACATGAAGCTATCAATAGTGGTTACCTCTAGAAAAAGAAATTGACAATTCTTTCACATATTTCTCTAATTCATGTGAGTCATCTTTTCACAATATGAATGTGAACTAAACATATATAAAAGTGTGCAAAATTCAAATAGTACAGAAATACATATGGCAGTAAATGAAGGCCTCTTGTAAATTCACCCCTTAGAGATAAAAACCAATAAAACTAAACTCATTGCTATCAAGTTGATTCTGACTCATTGTGGCCCTATAGAACCGGGTAGAAATGCCCCATAGAGTTTCCTAGGCTGTAATCTTTACAGAAGCAGACTACCACATCTTTCCTGCAGAGCAGCTGGTGGGTTCGAACTGCCAACTTTCGGTTTGCAGCTGAGAGCTTAACCACTACCCAACCAGGGCTCCTTCCCTTAGAGATAACTACTGTTAAAGGTTTGTGTTTTCTGTTAAAGGTACAATTTTTAAAACATGTGGGCATGCATTTGAGAAATAAACAACTAAACAGATAATTAAAATGCAATGTGTCAAGGAAGATGTTATAAATAAGCAAACAGGTAATTAAAAAATATATTGTCAAGGAGGCGAGACCTGAAATATAAGGGGATCTTAGTCAGACTTTGAGCTTCCTGAAAGCAGACTTCATACCTGTTTTTTTTTTTGTTTGTTTGTTTTGTTTTGTTTTAATCCATTGCCTGGCACATGGTAAGACATCAATAAATGTGTTTGAAAGAAGAATAGTAGGAGGACTGTTCCAGGCAGAAGAAACAGTATGTGAAAAACCCCTGAATAAGAAGGAGATTTGAGGAACTGAAGTTATGGCTAGAATGCAGAATGTGAAAGGAAGTGGCTGAATCTACAAACAGGACCAGATCATGAAGGATATGTGTAGATCATACATAATAAAGACTCTAGTCTTTATCCTGAAGGCAATTGGGAAGCCACGGTAAGATATCTAAGCAGAGAATTGACCATGGTTAGATTTGCATTTCTATACTAGGCTGCAGAAGAGAGAATGGATTCAGGGCAGAGAAAGAATAAGAGTTGAATTAGGAAGCTGTTAGTTTAATCTAGGAATGTGGATGGAGGGAAGGGAACAGAAATTGAGATACACAAGAATACAGAGCAGTTCAATCCGACACAGTAGCCACTAAGCACATGTGGTATTGACCACTTGACATATGGCTAGTCCAATTTGAGCCATGCTGTAACTGTAAAAGCAGCTCAAGAAGACAAAATATTATAAAGAAATGTGAAAAGACCTGGGATTAGAAAACCAAAAGAGAGAAACATACTTGGCATTTCTCAAGCTGAAAACTAAAAAAAATTAAAGCCTTGAGTTGTGATATTGAAGGATTCTATGGGAAAAACATTGAACAACAGAGGAAGCATCAAAAGATGGAATACAGGCATACCTCGGAGGTACTGCAGCTTTGGTTCCAGACCACTGCAAAAAAACGAGTCACAAATTTTTTGGTTTCCCCGTGCATATAAAAATTATGTCTGGGAGGTGAGGCCAAGATGGTGGAGTAGTCAGACACTTCCTGTGGTCCTTCTTACAACAAAGACC